CATTGAAAGCATTGTGCATGCGTTTGCTTCTGTCAGCATGATGATGGATGCCACCTTTTCAGCCGTGTACAACAGTTTCCGAGCTGTGCTGGATGTCGCCAATCACTTCTCGCGCCTCAAAGTGCACTTCACAAAGGTGTTTTCAGCTTTCGCTTTGGTGAGAACTATAAGATATCTCTACCAACGTCTACAGCGTTTACTAGGTCTGCGGACAAGCTCGGAGAACGAGGATTTGTGGGCTGAAAGTCAGGGGACAGTAGCTCGCGTTGGGCTTGAAGACAAGGCGGCTAACTCTGCAAAATCCTGGCCCATTTTCTTGTTCTTTGCTGTAATAATGGGAGGTCCCTATCTGATTTGGAAGCTGCTTTCTACGTACAGTGATGAAGAAACAGGTAAAGCTGATCTTCAGCACAAGGGGAATGCAGCATATATCGTTCCTTTTGTTATCATGTGTGTAGTGATTAATCTTATACTACAGTAATAAAGATTAACAGATACTGGGGTACAATACTGAATTTTATGCACATAGTACAAGTAACAACCTGCTTCAGCAGACTTTTGTTGAGTTAGGATGCAATTTCATGGTGAGTTCTGTGAAATTCCAAAACTGTGGTTCCTGTTTATGTTTCCTTTCTATTAGATGTGGCAGTTGGGGTGGGGGGAAAAGCATTGATTGGATTAACTCAACAAATCACACTTTGTTTGTTACCCCTGTCAGTTCTCTATTAGAAAAGTTTTATCAAGGAAGTTAAGGTGCTTTCTTCATTTTCCTTTAAAAAACACTGAACTTTATAATTTAAGGCAGATAAACTTTTAATTTATTTTTGGAAACAGTGTCTAGCAACTGGGCAAGTGGAGAAGATGATCATGTAGTTGGAAGAGCAGAATATGATTTCAGTGCCCTCTCAGAAGAAGAAATTTCTTTCCGTGCTGGTGACATGCTAAAATTAGCACCCAAAGGTAAAGTTTTCATTGTGTATTTAGTTTTTCAATCCCATGTGAAATAACTCATCACCTGAGAGCCTGAAAATTTTTTTAAAAATTATTTGACCGAATTCTTCATCCACACTGATTTTTGTCCTTTGATACGTTATTACTTGCTTTTTAATAAAACTTACTGAGTAGTTTTATTCAATTTTCCTAAGAGATGACACAGCCTGAACTTACTTGCTTTGTGGTTACCCCTATGGTTACCTTTTCCTCACATGTGCTGCACAACTGTGAAAATCCCTGGACATTGCAGCACAGTGTGTCATCAATTTCAGAACAACCTGCACTTCACAGTCCTCTTCAGCTCACCTCACCAGTGCAGATCCTGGTAATTTCTGTTGTAAAGTAATTTGTATTCACCTTTTGTCACAGGTATTTTCTCTGCACGATGGGTTGTTTATGGCATCGGCTTTCTGGTGTATTTGTGCCTCAGTTGCAATGTATTTTGAGTTGTTCTGTGACTTGACATGTTTGCGTTTTCTTCTTCAGAACAACAACCCAAAATCCGTGGTTGGCTTTTGGCTAGTTGTGATGGCCAAACAACAGGACTTGTGCCAGCTAATTACATCAAAATCCTGGGCAAAAGAAGAGGTAGGAGAAGAGTGGACCTGGAAAGGATTGCAGAGCAACGACCAGCCTTTACCAACACATCCGTTAGAGGATCCACTGCTACTGTGACTTTACAGGAGCAGGAAGCTGCTTTTGATGCTGTTTTTGCTGGAAGTAATAAGGTTCCTGTTGCGTCTGACTCCACTGTTGTTAGTGGAGAGAAACAGGAACTCTAATGCACTTTTCATCAACAAAGCAACTGAACTGTGGTTTATTGATAAAACTTAGGATTTGTTGAAAATCTGTATTGTAGTGGAACACTGATGGGTCTGTACCAGTTGTTGCTGCTACTGACTGGTAAAGGGATGGAGAAATGACTGCTCAAACTTGTAGTATTTATTTTTTACTTGCGTAAGGCTGTATGTTAGTGACTCTACCCAACCACTGGGCAGCAGTTCTAAGATCTGGAGACGAGGAGAACTGAGACATTTACAACACAGCAAACAAACAAATAATAGAGGGACTGCCAGCCTATTTTTGTTAAGGAGAGAAGCGCTTGGTAAAATCTGAAGATCCAATCTTCATTGGAATGTCAGCTTGACAAGTGGCCTCTTCAGTAGCTGTGCAAAAAGAAGGTAGATTTCTGTAAGATGTTCTCTAAAACTGGACACTGAGAAACATCAAACATTAATAGTGAATTGTTTCCCCCTGAAGGGAGAGAGAATTGCAAGACATTTAGGTGACACAATCAAATAATTTAAGTTTTAAGTTGCTTGCTTTTGTAAGAAGTAGGACTTCTGTCATAAAGACCTTATTGCTTAGAAAAAAGGAACTTGTGAGAAAGGAGAGAGAAATACAGTTACAAAGGAGGAGCAGTGGGGCTTCAGCAGCAGTTCTAACCTTTTTTTAATGAAAGTAACATAATCAAGGGTATCCTGCAGTCAGGCACTTTCCATTGCACTTGTTAATTGTTATTCCCTTCTCCAGTGAGCTAATTTTGCATTACTCCTAGCCATGTTGTGTTGCAGCCTGTTAACTGCCTATCAGTCTAGCAAATACCATCTGCATCTCAACTTACTTCTTTATTGTTTTTATATGAACATCAAAATATCTATCCTGCCTTTCAGAGCAGTAGGAAAGCATTGGGTTGGGGGAGTAGCAAAGAAAACCTAACACTTCTTGCTTAATTGTCTCAGTTATCCTGCCTTTCGGATGGTAAATTTTGCATCTGCCCGTACGATTTGAGAGCTGTGGTTTATTAAAAGCCATAAAAACATTAAGACTGTTCAAAGTATTTAGTATTCATATTGATATTGAGAATTGTATTAAAATACTGGTTTGGGTATTTTTAACACAGCAAAGATAATTAAAACTTTTTTCTTGTAGTATAAATGTATAACATGTTGAGCTTCTGAAGGTTAGCGCAATGGATGAAGTAACTAAAGCTTGTCTTAATCATTAAAATAGCTTTTTCTTATTTTAAAGGTACTCAAAAGCATTAGTAAAAGTAGGGCGTGTGCCTTTGCTAAATCAATCCAGTAGTTTCAGTTTTACTGTTCCTACACAGATCTTCAACACCCATTGTTTGTTAGCAAAGCTTTCAGTATTTATACTTTAAATTGCATTTGCTGGCCTTGAGTTCTTAGAATTCTATTCACCACAACAAAACCTTGCCAAGAAAAATTGAAGAGAGCACAGTTTTAATTCAGGTAGAGCAGCTGAGAAGATGGATGCTATGCTGGAGCCTTGGATAAGTAATCTCTGAATGCCTGTTGTTGATAATTAGAACAAGAATTTAAGCCGTCATCCTCAGGTATTAGGAGGTGGTGTGAAGAATCTTTTTTTACTAGATTGTTAGAGGAAAAGAGTAGTTAAAAGGCAACTGAGAAACTTGAAACTAGATTTAAAACAGAGCACCTTCCTGAGACATTTCCCTGTGTACCAGGGCCTTGAAGAAAATTATGTTTGGAAATAACATCTGTTGTTGAAATAAAAATAGCAAACTGTCCTGAAATATAAAATAGAGGAAAACAAGGGGGCAGAGGGGTATCAAGTGTACAGTTCTGCTTACAGTGTGTATTCATTAAGGGAATTAATTCAGTGTTGTGCAATTTAATTACTGGGCTTTCAGCCTCCCTAGTGTCAGTGAAAGATTTAAATCAGAAGAAGGGTCTTTTAAATATATGGATTAATGAACTCCAAACTTTTTGTAGTGTATCCGTTCAAGTAGACTTCTGTTTTTCTGCTCAGAACAAGTTGGGAAGACAGGACCATGATGTTTGCTGGACTCTTTAAATCCTACTGATTTTTAGAAAGATGGGTTGAATTTCACTTTGAGATCATGCTGTTTCAAAAACAACTCTTTTAGTAGGAGGATAAGTTATTAATAATTGTCATTTTAGTAGTTTGACTTAGTCTACCAATTGCTAATGTATCTGCTGAATCTTGACAAGAATTTTGGTCCTTTTAATCTTGGGAAAAGAAGGCTCTGAGAAAATGAAGTAAGTTATTTAACTCACAATTGTACTGATTGATGAAGGGTATTAAAATACATTGAAGTAAAATATATACTGTGCTTTAAGATTTAGATTTTATGTTGGTTTTTTTTAATGCACGAACTAGCATCAGGAAAAAATGTGAGTTCTACAAATTTCATCATCTGTGTTTCTGCCCATATGTCAGGCTACAGAAAAAACATCTTGGTGAGTGCTGATGAAAAAGGGAGGCTGGTTGGCAAGGCTGCTCAAGACTTGCACAACCTTAGGAAGGTGAGAAGGCTAAAAGGAGCAGGTGTGGCTGCAACAGGAGTTTGTAAAAGAGTGGATCAGAAAAGCAATGCTGTTGAAATCTTGCTAAACTTACACATTAGGCAATTGACTTATTTTAAGGTCTGTACATCCCAGCCTACCTTTATTTTTTTCTTTGGAACTATTTATATAACTAGCAGACCCAGAGGTGTCTAACAGACCTCAGACATTTGCTTAGATAAGGTTTTAGTTTAATCTTACTTTAACCTTCTTGATGCTGTTACGTATACCAACCATTTTATGCTTGAATGCTGCCTGAACTGATGACAGATGCTAGTTTTGACTGGTTCTCTGGATGCCAGCAGTACTTGAACATGCACACATTCAGGTTTCTGAATAATAAAAATACTCTTTTTGTCTAATAGAACTTAATAAAATTCTAGCTTCTGCCGAGCTAGACTGCAGCCAAGTTATTATGTTTTGACGTCTTTGGTGACCTTGGGTAAGTTAGCTAGTCAGGTAAATACAAAAAAAAGATGGTTTCTTATGAATTGGATATGTTTGCAGTGGAATTTTTCCAGAAGTAGTACAAACTCAGAAGCCAACAGAGTGATTTGTTTGACACACCTATAGAAATATTCTTGTCCGCAACAGTAGCGGAACTATATTTGCTTTACAAAATTCAGATAACACAAAAGTTTTTAAGTAGCTCCTTCCAGATGTTTGTTTCTTTTTTTAATCCATACAGGTGCAGCTGTGTTGGGATTGGTGAACATTTTTGGCCTGCAATGGCAGGTAGGAATTGTGTGCATCCACGCATGGTGATACATTCCTTTTTTATTCCCTCGTGTCCTGAGATTGGTTCTTCCATAGATTTGAAGCAGGTTTGGGATGATAAATCTGCTTCCTGGATTCTGTGGCCATACTGAACCCAGCCTGTAAGCCACTGGATAATATCTCCTTGCAACAAGTTTACCTGAATAACCAGTTTAACCAGTAACATAGGCATGATAGTCAATGCAGGGCACCCCTGGAATTTTGTTTCCTGTAGATTTCAATGCTACTTTGAGATACTAAAGTTCCCTAAATTTCACAGTAGGCATGAAACTGTAAGACTCGAGCATATTACATGGATTATTTACGCTGTCTGACGGGATCTTTACAGTTGTTTGGGTTTAGAAATGAAAACTTTAAATGCAAAGAACTAGTTCCACTACCTTGGAATTATTTGCAATTGAACAAACATAGTTTCTAGACTATCAAATGAGGAAAAATTGAGATATTGAGTGTTGTTTTTTTTTCCCTCAAATACTGGAACTGGTAGTTTTTTTCCTATCAAAAAGAAAAGGTGAGGAATTTCTGCCTAAAAGCACAGGTTAGTTAAAAGACTGTTTTCTCTGACATCAAGCCTGCATTTATAGTGTAATGAAGTAATTTCATAACATATCAATATTACAGCATCAGCTTGTTCTGTGGATTGCTGTGGGATGGTAGGAAATCGGGCGTGTTTTCTACTTTAACTGAAATCCAAAGGACGTTTTTATACTGTTTTAAGAATTCAGATTTCCTATACTTTTCTAGAATGGTGCAATCCTTTTTCTGTGCTTTTTAGCATTGTGTCCTTGTTGTTTTGGATTTAGGAGTGATGGATTTTTTGAAGAAAATGTTTAATATCCACGTGGCCGTGATTCACTCGTAGTGATTGCTGTCAAAATACCGAGGAGGAACAGAAACTTCATCACATGATACAGTGGGATATAGCCAGAGGTGGGGCAGAAAAATGGGGTTGGGAAGGACTGTTGCATGTTGCACACAGGAAAAGAAGATGTGGGGTGATCCTTAGCTGGCACAGATGGCTTCCTGAGGGAAGTAATTTTAAAATGTCTGGGAAGAATTGATGTAGTAGGAAATAAATAACAGTAGAGAACAAACCAGCAATAGGAATACCAGGATTGGGACTTGCTGTTGACTGAATTGTCTGGTTCCTTTACGGGCTCCTGGTGCTGGGGCTGCCCTGTGGAATTAGCTGGAAGGTCGATGTTCTGTTACTGCTTTTATAGTTTCACGTGTATCAAATATTTAACAGCTGGAAACCTGGGAGAACCTTAAATGAAGGCCCAGCCGTTTGGCAAGTACAACGCGGGCTTTAGTAGAGGGCTTTTAACACAGGTTCCTGCTTAATTTATTTGCTGTCCTTGTGTCCCGGGCCTTCTTGTAGCCAGTGAGTTACTTTGATAAGACCTTTCCAAGCCAGGACTGTCCCGGTTTTCCCTTCGCACTAACGCACTGGCACGAGGCACTACAGTAACGGCTTTTTACCGAAAGACAAAACAAAACGTGGCGCCAGAGCCGCTGCTGCGGGGGCTGCGGGGCCCGGGCGGGGGG